CAACAATTAACCAGGTCCCATCTTCTTTGCCACGGTCATTTTCACTTGGCTGAATTAAGTAAATGTGTTGCTGTTTAAATAACTTTCATGTGACATCTGGTGCTTTACATTTACCACAAGTAGAGAAAGCAAACATGGGAGTAGCTTCCACATCACAATGGTGTGTAATTAATTTACCATAAGGTTTATAATACATCTAAAACAACGCAGATTGGTTTCACTCTAGAGCAGCATGGTTTTAATAAGATCTACAGAAATAATCAGATAATAAATACATTATGCATTTGCCATTAATGTGGATTTAGAAGCATTGTCTGACTATAAAGCTGTCTGTTTTATTGCTTTTCTGACAGACATTGACAGCCCCGATATAGCCAATAAGCAACTCAGAAAACTATTAGGTGTAATGGCTCTCAGTCGATCCAACATACGCGTGATTTATACACTACATTAAAAACTCTTGGCAACAAAATGACCTATTTACTACAGCTTTATTAAATATTAAAGCTGTGACATTCCAGGTTCGGCAGCTAGGATGAACATCGATTCTCACCGCAACGAGGTCACGGAAGTAAAGAGAACATACCGTTACATCACCATCATGTTCCTGTGGTTAAAGGAAAGCCAGGAAACGGTTCAGCAGTCAGATTCAAATCGTGGCACGCTGCTGCATGTCATCAGGTTTCTGAGTAGATTATGATATAAATAAAAGCCATTACGTTATTGGTATTTGTTGTAGGAACTATTTATTTGTAATTAGTAACTTTTCATTTGAGATACATTTTACAATTCTATTTTAGATGATGATAGCACATGATATTGGTGCAGTGGCCCGCCTCTGCAAAACAACACTGTGAAATCCTGCTCTGATTTAGCAAAAGCTTTCTCTCTTGTGCCTCGAGTGCAATGGTAATTCAAACACAGTAGAGGGGGGACAACAGAGCTTATTCATTCCTCATTATCACTGCTGAAGTGCCCTAGAGCAAGGCAATACACCATCAGTGCAGTGGGGCTGCTCTGTGTCCAGCAGTATGTGAATTTGGAGCAGAGCGTTTTTTGATGTAGAGTGTTCGTGCTCTAAATCAAGTACTAAATGTCAATTATTGTTTCTAAACATTTACCACCTTCCCTGCCTTGCTGCTGTGATGAAAGGTGCGACTCTGTGCCACTATACTCTGTGCATATAACTTCAATATTACCTTTTCTCCTGCACAGAAACAATTTGAAGGAAGAGAACATGGTTATTGTTCCCGTGGTGTTTTACTGAGTCTCCAACAGTTTTCACTCATCACAACGAACAAAGCTGTTCACATAGGACTGACCATTTAAAAAGAACACAATCAAGCACTAAGCAATTACAGCCTTTTGATGATGAATTTGAGTTATCATATTAAGTGCAGCTGTGCTTTGTGTGGGCTGTAATGTGAAATGCTAGAATACCATTTTCAGATCGTCAGCCCTCCTCCGCATCTCTCCCTCGTTCTGTTCTGTTGTTAGCAATACAGGTGGAGAGCATCAGAATATATGTAGGCGAGTGAGAGGGAGGGTAAGGCCATCATCTTCACATGGCAGAAGACAGAAGGATGAGTGGGCAGAATAGTGACAGAAAAGAAAGCGGGTATAGAACAGGACTTAAATGCAAAGTCAGTTTGGCAACCTCTTGAACATGCCAGTAAAGTGTTCAGTTATGACATGTGTCTGACATCAGCGGCATCTAACTCTGAGTGACCTACTAAGCCTCCACTGAAGTTGCTTAGTCAGACAAGTATTATACCTTATGCAAACTGCTGAGTTACAAAATAAATGCTCAGCTAAAAATACCATGAAGCAGCATTTAATGTCACGAAGCAGCATTTATTCATCGCCGCAGCACTAATTATCCAGAGAAGCTCACAGTCCGAGCTGCAGGTACTCGTTCAGTTTCAACCACACTCTAACTCTTCATGTCTCTTCTTGCAGATTTCCCCCAACCTCACAGATGTCAGCCAGGACAGGTTCTGGTCACCTTGGCAACCCTTAGTCAGTTTTTAAATAATAGATGATCCCCCACATGAGGTGCCTTATGTGCAGCAGGTAATCCACAGTTTCAAGTCTGTATTCTCTTCCTAATAAGCAAATGAATGGCGCTCATGTTTGTCGTATGCTACTAGTATATAACTTATTTTTGTTTTATAAAAAAATTAAATGGTATAAGGCTAGGAAACAATACAAAAAGACCAACAAGCTACATTCAAAGCTTGGGGGAGATGTGGGAATAAAGGAATGAAATGTGAGAAGAATGGGATATAAGAAGGAAGATTTGGGGGATTTTGTATACTGTAGGTTGAATGGCAGTATGGGTGGAAAAGGGAGACAAGCTAAAGGGGAGACAAATGGTGAATTATGTGAAGGCGGTGGATAAGGGGAAATATCAGAATATTAGGATCAATTAGAACGACACTAACAAATTCAAAATACAAAAATACTTGTTGTCTTCACTAAACAAAGTGCTTGAAATGTACACTCAAACTAAGCTTAAATAACTTTTGAATTAGCATAGAAAGGAAATTAAAAGCAGCAAGACTCTACACACAGACTGCAGGCAAACTGTGTGCTAATTGTTTCTCAATTGCAATTCACTGAAGCAATAAAGCCTCCTATTGAGAAATGGCCCCAAATAATGAGGATCCCTCACTCTCACTCAGTAGGATGAGCGATAGAGATGAGCTACAAAGACACTGAGATATGACAAATACACACAGGGCAGTGGGAGCCTTGGGGTCAGCTTGCTTCATTCCCCAGACAGGCTCAGAAAGTGAATAATAACTCCGCCAATCACCAATGCTTTGTTTGATACACTAGTTTTCTGGTTTCTTTCTTTCTTCTTTGAAATGCTCAAAAAACAGACCAATGTGATGTTTAAATGTACACTAAAGATATTTCCCCTATCTGCTGTCTGGCAAATACAAAATGAGAGGCACCCTCACCTCAGAAAGGACTGAAGTTGGATACATCATTATAAATGACGCTGGCTGAATCACTGGATTGATCACAGACAGTGAAACACAAACAACTACAGAGGATAGTTAACAAGGCACCCAACATCATAGGATAACTCCCCTCAGCTAAATCTCTACATACTCAGAACTGTAAAGTAGAGAATCTCCCACCCCTCACATCCTGCACCTCTCAGCTCCTACCCTCAGATGACTGTTGTAGGTCACCAAGATGTAACACTTTAAAAACAGCCTTTTTTCCCTACAGGGCTCTGAACTCCTTTCCCTTGCCTCCTCTTCATATGTATTTCCAGGAGGTTCCTCTGTTGGCAATACGCATTTATGCTGCATAGAATAACCAATTCCACTGGCATTGGTCATGTGTCTAATAAACAATTGATCTATTTAAGTATGCCTCATGAACTGAGGGAACAGAAAGTATGTATGTATGGTACAAGGCTGGTTTCAAATGATACTAAAGGGAATTTTTAAAAAGACAGATACGTTCCTAGCTGTGATGGTCACTGTGACATAACACTCCATGCTCACAAAGCAGGAACCTAGGGCTGAACGATTAATCGATTTTGTGGGATTTTGTTCTTGTGTGTCAGTCATCCACACCAATCAGAAGTGCTGTGCTCCACATGTACCAGCCATTGTTAACAAATTAGAAGTGGCCCATGATAGAAGGTGATAGACAGATTGATCCAATCAAGTATTTTTGAAAGTGCCTGCCCTTTCCAAATGGCTTCCAATAGCCGCTTTCACACCGCAGGACTTGCGGTACTTTAGTGCCGGCACTAAAGTACCACGGCACTGAATCCGCCAGGGGGCTAGTGCCATAGCCGCATTCACACCGCAGGACTTTCCCTGAGGCAAGATTACGCTGACGTCACTTCGTCTTCTTCTTCTCTGGGTTTACTGGCAGGCCGCAAAACCACTTCACGGCGAGTACAACAAAAACGAGAGAAGAAGAACTACACGGGGGAGGGGGTATACACACCTAAGTGCAAGTTAGGTGTCAGTATTAAAAAAACAGTGGCAATATATATATATAATAACAATAGAAAATCGTTACCACTCTTATTATTGTGGTCTTTAATTTTTTTATAGTCCTGCCTGAGTTTCTTTATTTTTACCCGGCATCCGTGTGCACTGTGCACGATTCCCAGCTCAAGTAGCTTTTGCAAACATCGCTCAAAACATTTGGAGTTGGGAACTGCTTTCTGTAGAAGCTGCTGCATCCCGTCCTCAGAGTAAATTGCCAGAAGCGCCGACACTTCCTCATCATTCCACCGCTCCGGTGTTGTACGTGTAGTCATGCTTTAAAGTACAAACAACCTATTTGCTCAAGTTGGATGTGGTTTTGTAGCGAGGAAAAAAATGGCTGCCTAACAAAACAAATTCAGAGTCTAACGGGGCGTGGTTTGCAATTCGCCCAGCCAATAGAAATATAATAGAAATTGGCACTCTTTTATCACCAGGTTAGTACCACCTCTCTAGCAGGGACTAAAAATGGCCAAAAGAGTTCCAAAAGAGTTCCCGGCACTGAGTAGTCCCGGCGGTGTGAACGCGACATTATTGGTACTAACGGAACAAAAGAACCAAAGTACCAGGGAAAGTCCTGCGGTGTGAATGCGCCTAATGGAGCTTTCCTAGATGGTTTCTGAGTCAGGTTAGTAATGCTCCATCACATGTTTCTATTACAGGGTGAATCTTAAACTGAAACTTGGCTTTAAAGCAACCCAACGGAAGCTTCATGTAAGTTTAGTTCTTTCACTCGTAGCTCGGGCTGCAGGGGTGCTAGAGACGGGAGCATGTTGATGCGACCTTCCTAGCCGGAGATATGACCGCATTTTACAATAAACTTCCGTTGGGTCGCTTAAAAACAAATATCGCAAATCGAATCGCAATATTTGTCAGAAATATCACAATTCTATTTTTTCCCAAAATCGTGCAGCCCTAGAGTTTATTCGGGACATCTGCACCCTGAAATGAAAGAAAGGATTTACAAATCTCTCTTACCATTTGCAGAGGCCTCTTCCGAAGGTCCCTCTCGGTGACCAGTCTCTCCTGGTCGGTGACGTAGAGCCCCCGCTGAGCCAGCGCCTGGACGACAGCATCGTGGCCCAGCAGGGGGTGGTCAGCGTCACTGCTCAGGACGAGGCTGCCCGCCCTGCAGTAGAGGTCTGCAGACAACAGGAGGCTGGCCAGGGGGGGCTTCAGGTGCTCCTGCTCATACTGGTCGGTGTAGAAGGGGTCCTTTAAATCAGCTGGGATACTGTCTGTATAATGGAAGAGAGAAAGTGGGATGCTGGGTAAGACATTCCACGTTTCTTAGATGCTCGATTAGAAGAAAATACTGTGTTTATTTGCTCCCACAGTGGCATGTTTCTATATCATCAACAACATATGCCGCTGAGATGTGAACTGAGGATAAAGATTTTCAATTAATGTTCTTAATTGTGAAAAGCTAAACCACTTTGCCCATCACCCATTTCACAGAAGATATTTAAATTCTATCGCAAATCCATTGAATAGAAAAGTAAAACAATCTGGAAACTGTGACGTAAATAATGATGGCAGCTTTTTTTCTCCTTAGTCCACATTCACTACCATATTTGGCAAGAGCGCTTCATTTTTCAATTCAATGATGTTATTTTGACGTGGATGTGTGTGGATCGACCTGAGCGTTGCTATAGTAACTGCAAGAGTGGAACCCGATCGATTCATCTTAGTCTGCATCTTCCAGCTCCCTGGGAACACCCTCTCTCTTCCTGCCTCTCAACGGGAGAGCCTGTAAGTGTGTGTGTGTGTGTGTGTGTGTGTGTGTGTGTGTGCGCACATCACCTCAGGCAAGTCCACTGCAAGGGGATAGTCCAACAACAATACTAGTAATGCCTTTTGTATTGCTTTTGTCTCATTCCTTTCTTATCAGCGATTTCTGAGCTTGGAAGAATTCTCACAAACAAACCAACGAAAGCACTTCTACAAAAACAATTGGTTTGATATTGCTTCAGATTTGGCTTCTATGCAAAACATCCAAACACATCTGCACGCACTCCCCAAGGCCAAGCAGTCAGAGCTCATCACAGTGTCAGAGTTAGCAGGAGTATAGATAGACATTGTGATAAGCAGAGACAAATGTGGCATATGGTGAGAGCTTTACTCACTCTGACGCTGCTGCCCAACCTCCACCGTCAATGAATCACCTTCTTATGCTGACCATCATCAACAAGGTCATCTATAAATGGACTCTGTGTCATTACGGAACAGAGATCCATACCGCAGCAGCAGCTATCTGGGTTATATCCTTTTCCTGACTACCTTATTGTGTTATTGATTCAAAAAAAGAAAGGTCCCCACACGCACACAGGGAGGTCAGAGGTCAGGCTGAGCTACAGAGCAACATGCCTCGAGCTTGTGGGATGTTGAGGTCAGGCATATTGCTGAGGTGTTTTACATATTGCATTTGATTTTTCAACATAAAGGCTTTTCTTGTGCCTTCAAATCTTTTCTGGCCTAAGTTCATGTTGTAACTGGACAATACCTGACGTTTAAAGAAGACTTCACTGTGAGGAATGTGTGTGTGTGTGGCCCAGTTCACTGAGCTGAAAATCACATTACTCTAATTACTTTAATGAAATCACTACAAGAGCAGTGTTCCATCAATTGCACACAGCAAACTCAATACGCAATGGTTTAATGTATTGAAGAAGGGAATCTGTTAAGTACTTGTTTGGGGAACGTTGAAAGAATTACAGTTACTCATTTCGCTCCAACATATCACCCAGCATTCAAACAGGAAAGCCGTTGGTCACAGTGAATCTCCTCTGAGCTCTTAACATGAGCTGCATTGCACATGCAGTGGAATCAGTTTGAGCTTGATCGTATTTTCACACAGAAGATGATCTGCTGCATAGGCAACATCTCTTCCTGATGCCCTGCTGCATTGGTGTAATGAGGCAGATGCATGAGAAGTATTCAGAGCAGCGTAGGCAGGGATCTGGAGATGAGCCTGTTCTCTCTATTCCTTGCACTCTCCCTCCCTCCCTCCGTCCCTCTCTGGAGAGTTGTATTTTTGGAATCAAACCATTTCATTCAGTTCCGACAGAGGATACACGGAGGATCTGCAAGGAATCTCGTGTTCAGAGGGCTTTCACAATACAGAGCAAGGAATAATGTGCTCGGTGGCTACAGTAGCAGAATACCACCTGTCTGCACTGTTCAGACAAACAGATGTGTTTGTATTTATATGGCAAATCTGTTTCAGCCCATATGAAGATTAAGCTGGTGATTAATAACCACAATGATGGGGATCATAGGAAGTAGTTGAATAGAGGTGACAGAAATAGAGAAGAAGAATATGAAGACAGTGTGTTCTGTTTGCACTCATATTGTCAAAGCAAAATCTGATACCAACATATGAACAGGCACAGCATATTTCTAAGGTCAAACGTACACCCTGAATTGTGTGGGGTTTACATTTGGAGAAGTGCACACACTGAGCCGCTCGATCCACTCACAACCTCTCACAAAGCCTCAGGATTCATATTTAGACCAACATCCGTTCCACTTCAGCAAGAACTCGTTTTAGCCCAAGCTGCTGCTTCAAATAAGTCACCATCAGTCCTGGGAAATTCAGAATTTGAGCATTGTTTTGTCTTTCAGATGCTTCTGCATAATGTGTAATTAAGTTGTGTAACTGTGCATCTTTTTTGCTCCTAATACGAACAAAGCAAATGCATCAGTGGTAGGACAAACGTTTGAGTGACTTGAACATGTGATCAGGCAGGGGCCATGCAATACATCTTTAATCATGCCTATAGCTTTAGGGCTTTGCATGGTTAGGTACTTCTATGTTCCCTGATGGCATCCTATCAATCAGCCTTGGCTCTGGCACCAAGCACAACACAAATAAAATGTCAAGTGCAGTTGTGTATTTCACTTGACTTTTAAGAGACTTCCCGCGGACAAACAGCACACTTACTGGTATTTCAAAATGTGTTGTGCATGTTTAGCTGCTCAATATGATTAGCTGATGACAAACAACACCATTAGGCCCATTTCCACAGGCCATAAGACTGTTAAACATCTGCCCTTTTGAAAGAACATCCATAACATTCATCTGTTTGCAACTTGTATATAGACTATTCTTGCACTATTTATATTATATTCTATTTTATTGTATTTACTTGCACTATTGTATCTGTTTTATTGTGTTGCTGTTGGAGGAGCCTGTGACCTAAGATATCCATTGTCATAACTACACTGTAGCTCTGTACACATGACAATAACAACCTTGAATTGTTCTACTCTGAAGGCTGATGAACCTAATTCTGAAGTATGTCTGTTAAATCCCTGCTTGTATTGGTAACATGTGACTTGTGTGAGTGTGTGTTATGGGTGTTGGAATCATACCATTTTCACTGAAGCTCACAATGAAACAAGAGGGGTTGATGGATGTGGAAAGAGACGAGTTGCTGATACTGTTAACTCATGTTGTTGTAATTCCAATTGCTGGACAACAGAGGGTGATAAGAGATATAGGCTTTGTTAGGGCTGCTCAAGTAATCGTATTTTAATCGCAATTACGATTATGGCTTTCAACGATTACGAAAACAACGTAATCGAAATTAAAAGATTATTTTTTAAATTATTATTATTACTTTTTTTTTTTTTTTTTTTTTTAAATTGGTTTTTCAGTTGAATTATACTTAAAGTTCAGGGTAATCAACTGTTAAAAACATACTGTTCACATTTTTTTCCTCCAATAAATTGATGTTTTCAAAGTAAATGGATAATCATTTTTAATAATCGTGATATCAATTATTGACCCAAATAATCGAGATTATGATTTTTGCCATAATCGAGCAGCCTTAAACTTTGTTGCACAATACACCTTTGGAAATTATGAAAGAGCACATCAATCTGTGGTACTAGAGGGACATATTTGACATTCACTTCATGTGAAAGCACTCCATTTGCATTTTTATTATTTTGAGTTTAACATATTTTGAGCGGTTTCTCAGCATCAGCTTTGCAGTATAGTCTAACAAAAGTAAGATGTGGAGAAACAAAAGCTACTATCTCAGGTAAACAACCACAGCACTAAAACGCCCCTTTAAAATCAATTTTGAATCCTAGTATTTCAACAGTGAGGGGAGCCTCTGAGACCCCATGTAACAACGCTCCTCTCTAGCTATGTATTATCCATACTGACAATCAGATAATCAGACTGAATTGCCATTTTGTTTTCACCGCAATGTTGGCTGGCAATTCAAAAGGAATAGAGCCAGGCTATATGGATACACCTCTGCATTAATATTGATTATCTTATTATATTATCGTATCTTACAAGAGCAGGTTTTTTAAATGAGTAAAAAGAAACCCACTTCTGACTACCTTTACATTGCAAACCCTATTTGGACCTTTGATAAGATACTAAGGTAAATCTATAATATCGTGTAATATATCAGAATCAAGAAAGTGATATCAATGAGGCAAGATAAACATGAAATACGTCTATTACGAAAAAGCCTGAACCTTTCCATTTGCCCCAAATTACTGTTCACAATGTATGAAAGCAATCTCGTGATGTGATGCATCTTTCTAAATGTGGATGCTGTTCCCTGAAGGTGACATAATATGGGACACCTTCCAAGCTCCAAGTTCCACACTGAATATTCCCTTTTCATTAAGTAGGACAACATATTTATGATCACTAGTACAGGCAACTGGTTTTATCTCCTCTTGGGATACTATTTATTGTCTTTCCAATAGGCTATTCATTTAAGAGGGTCCGCAACACAACCCGATATTGTCCATGGACCAAACAGGTAAAATCCCTGTGATATTTCGACAGGCTGATAATAGAGAATACTGGTGTAGCCTTATCAATGATAAGTCTATTGTGAATAACTGTTGTCTATGTGTAGTCTGAGCAGGTAATGTTTTGTATAGTTTTTTATTGGCATATTTTACACGTACTGCGTTAGGTTCTGGCCTTTAGTAGGTAATTCAATTATTTATAAACATGCATTGAAAAACAAGCTACTCATACAGCATGCAGGTATTTGACTATACAGTTGTGCACCTACCTGTCCCGTACGCTTTGGCCACCAGCCATGTGAGGCTGCAACAGATTTTTCCCCGGGGGAAGTCATAGTGCTCAAAAGACTTTACTGCTGGGGCAACACAGGTCTTCTTAACATCCCTGGCGTCCTGCACTTCACCCATATTTCTCCCTGGACTGTATTGTTGAATCCTATGAGGCAACACAACGCGAAGGCATCCCACCACTGGAATTTCTTGAAAAAAACATTAACGGCAGTAAAATGATGACATACAGCGTCTTTCCTCCGAGTATTCACGGGTTCTTTAAGTGATACAATTTGACTTTTGCTGGGATTTGTTCTTCTTATTCAGTTTCGTTGACACAATGATCAGCTAGTCTTGTTTTTCATCCATACTGCTGTCTACCAGATGCAATGGGCTTCGTCGGACCAAGCAGCGAAGGTTTCCTTGGGTGTCAGAGGAAAAATAGCTCTTCAGCTAGAATGGAAACACAAATATTTCCATTCTTTGGGTTCTGTGAAAGCAGACGCCTTCTCCCTTTTATGTCCATGTATTTTTGTATGAATTGCCTATGTGTTTGGCATTCTCTCCTCTATTCTGTTCTTGGTGCCGTGGTGCGGTTTTCCTGCCGCACTGTGGCACTCCGAGCACAGCACCTTTGTTCCGCAATACGCATGCGCGGACGGTGCATTCACTGCTGTGGGGAATGTTAACACTTTGTTTTGTTGTGGTTTGTTGTTTTGGCCGTGTATTGTCATTTCCCATCATAGAAATAAATCCGTGTATTGTTGAGACTGCAATTATATACCAAATCACAGCCGGCTTATTAAAATATTTGAATTACAAGCCCTTACACCAGGATAGAGAGCACTCCTTTCCGTCTTTGGTCGAACTGTAAAGTTTTCAATGAGCATTTGAATGGAACATGAAAAAGGACACCATGCCTACAATTTGACCAATAAAACGAAAACAATTAATTTACATAATACCTTATTATTTTTAAATTGACAGAAAGACCTCCTTTCAAGTTATTGACTACTGCTCTATCATTTTTGCAGCAGTTTAATTACCTTGACAACCCGGTTTAATTACCCAGCCACTCCATGTTATACATACACTCATTATACATGGTAGAAGACCACGAATGTCAATAAAGGTTTACAGTAAGGTCAAATATGTTTACGATTGAATAAAAAAAACACCAACAAGGTCTGTTAACAACAGAAGGGAGAGTAAAAGGGCGATGTTCCACGAACCACATTTCCCAACATGCAAAGCAACACACGTCATTGGTCTGCGTCGTCAGCGATTGTTTTGAATCGCTGGAAAATAACGCGTTGGAAGAAGGTATGTGTAACTTAATGCTTTTATTGTATTAAACATTCAGCGTATACTTCCCGGCGTTTATGAGTCAGGTCGAAGTGTGGTTTGACAAATGATTTGACCAAATACATGAACATATGACTTCCTTCTGACTAGTTAAGAGTAGAAGCCAAGAGTTGCTGTTAAACTGGTGTTTGTGATAGCCTACTGTTATTTTGTTACTAAACGAACATGTGTACCTTTGGGAATATGACTTTTACTCGTTATGTATTTATGTTCGGTAGAAAACTTAACTCTGACCTTGAAACCCTTGACATTTATGTTTCTTGATGTTTTGCAGGTTAACAATCCGGAAAAATGTTCATGCCAAGAGCCCTAAAAGTAAAGAGACCTGCCCAGGTCTCAGGCCCAGTGTTGAATAAAAAAAGCAAGGTATCTCAGGAGGAGAGAAAAGATGAAGGAAGTTCAGCGACACCAGTTCAGAAGGAGGAAATCAGTGAAGGCACCAAAACACAGGATGAGACAATAAAAGCAAGTGGAGAATCAGCATGTTTGACAGAAAGCCAAGTGCTTAAGGATGAAGACCCATCCGCCTCAAGTGATGAAGAGGAAGAGGAAGAACCTGTCAAATCCTTTAAAAAGAGCCAGAGGTGGCCTGAGCCAGGAGAGCCAGTCTGTGTGATGTGTGGTCGCTATGGGGAGTACATTTGTGACAGTACCGACAATGATGTTTGCAGTCTTGAGTGCAAAGCCAAACATTTGTTCAAAATGGGGATGGGCACTGGTGCGGACGTGTTTAACCGTAAGGACACAATTGGAGATGAAAGGACTCAACCTCAACAGTCAGCGGTTGACACTGATGGAGTGGGTGGAAGTGAGGCAGTCTATGCCTACAAAGATGATCTGTTCATATCAGGCCTAACAGAGGAGCAGGTGCAGCGTATCAAACAGGAGCTGGGCATAGAAACCCAAGGTAGTGAAGTCAAGAGGCCCATCCTTGAGTTTGAACACTGTGGCTTCCCTGCCACGCTGAATGGCAACCTGAAAAAGGCCGGGTATGCGGCGCCCACGCCGGTCCAGATGCAGATGGTGCCGGTTGGACTCACCGGCAGGGATGTGATCGTCAGTGCTGACACAGGATCAGGGAAGACTGTAGCCTTCCTGCTGCCAGTGGTAGTGAGGGCACTGGAGGTACAGTAGTGCCTTTTTATACCAAGAGAAGGAGACTAATTCATCTATAGGAAACTTCTATAGGGATATGTTATCTAGAAGAGATAAACACATTTGGCAAACACCTCCAGCATCCTGCATGTCAGAAGTCAGCCTTATTTAACCTTACATGTCGGCAGATTTTACATTTTAAGTCACGGTGATAAAAACATATAAATTAAACCGCATCTCGGCCTCCACATAAACTTAGCCTTGTTTGAGTTATTGCATTAATACAATTTGGAAAAGCAAATACAGTTACATTCTAGCAGTAATCGTGTTAGCCTTGATAATCCATCAATCACTTAGGCATACTGATGTTAAAAGGAATGTAAACATTTACACATAATAAACATACGGTGATGCATATCTGTAAATATCTGAAACAGGTTAACTTACGTTTAGAAAAAATACAGAATTGTTTTATTCTTCTTCTTAAACTACAAAAGTTATTCTTCACAAAAGTTCAAAACAGTATTTACAATTATAATAAGTAGTGACCAGCATTAACAAAGATATTGTCCAGGTCAAGTAAATCTCTTTGTTTAGAAAAAATCTAAACGAACCTACTTTATTTTGGGAATTATCGTCAGTATTATTATACAGCAGATTGTTTGCATGGTTAGAAGGTAAACTCAACTGAAATGGTTAGATATTTCAGACTGATATTTTACCTATGAGCAGAAGTGTCCTTTAGCAAGATAACAATGAGGGAGCTGGCCATTAAGTCCAAAATAATTCATCTATTTTTAATGGGAACAACTACAAATTAATAGTACTATTAAACTATTCATGAAACGTCTCTCTCATATAACTTAATAACATGTATTGCTTCATGGCTAATGGCTGTTGGGCTTGCATATGTGTGTGTATGTTTATATAAGTATATATTGCTTAAGATAATGTACGTTTTTTTTGTTTAGAAGCCAACACAGAGTGCAGGCAGTCCTGTGGCTCTCATCCTGACCCCCACCAGGGAGCTGGCCATTCAGATAGAGAGGCAGGCCAAGGAGCTGGTGATAGGTGTCCCCAACATGAGGACCGCTCTGCTGGTGGGTGGCATGCCCCTCCCCCAGCAACTCCACCGCCTCAAAAGCAGCATCAAAGTACACTCTTTGTCTTTACAGTGACTTTCTTCTTCCTCAATCCAAACACTTTGTAGCTTTCCTACAGCATCATGTTCTTTTCCCTCATTCCCCTTTAGATTATCATAGCCACCCCAGGGCGACTCATCGAGATCCTGAAGCAGAAGGCAGTGCAGCTGGACATGGTGAAGGTAGTGGTGGTTGATGAGGTATGATAAACACAGAGCATTTCAGATTTCCTAGAGGTTTCATTCTTTAGTGAAAATGTTTTAGACAAAGGTAAATCCATCAAAGACAGTAAAGTTGCAGGTCTTTGAAATCCTCTGCATCCAAGTCTTTAAACTTAGTATCTCCCAGAAAACCAGTGTGTGTGTGTTGATACAGCAGCCCCGCCAATTTGTTTCTATGTGTCGGTACAAGAAAGGCTCTTGAGGCCTAGTACCAGGGCCGGTTCTAGCCAATTTGCTGCCCTAGGCGAGATTTCATATATAAAGAATAAATGAAAAGTCTCTATAAAAGGCAAATACACTACAAAAACAGAAACCTATTGACATAGGTAATAGATGTCAAAATGGCTTCAAATGTATTCATTATTGTATGAACATGTTTGAATTGGGGGGTGGACGTCACATTCTCTGGGGGGTCCGGGGGTATGCCCCCTGGGAAGTTTTTTTTTTTTTAACATTTTAAAGGTCCCATGTCATGCTTTTCTGGTTAGTACCCGTCCCCTTGTGTGTTATGAAGGTTTTTATGCATGTAAACGGTGTGCAGAGTCAAAACCCTCAAAGTACACCCTGTAGCGAGTAAAACTCTAAAACAGAAAATACCTCCCCAAAACGCCTCGTTGGAGATACATCACTGTCCATTTGATTCTTCTGGGTACGCATGATGTCAACCGTACCCGGAACGAAATGGACCAATCCGTGGAGCCGTTATGTTACGTCTGCGGAGCCGTTACGTTAAGCCCCCGCTGATTGGTCCAAATTGACCAATCCACGGACTTCCTCACACACACACTCAGTGCAAGCAGCTCTGCTGATTTCTCTTCCCTGGCTGCAGGCTGATAACAGACAGTTGGGATCGCGGCGAAATTCTCTCTGCAGACTCATTCTCACAGCGTTTATCAACCTTTTTCTTACTCAATATCAAGCCACACTTATTGTTTTTACTTCGGCTGTGACTTTGTGTGTGCTCAGGATGAGTTTGGCTGTGTTTCGCTGTGTATCGCTAAACAAGGAAACAACACCTCCACGGAGCTCAGCGCGATTCACAACGTCCCGACCAATCGGAGCACACTGTGCTCACAGGGAGGGTGGGGGCTGGAGCTATTGGAGCTACAACGAGCCGTTAAAGGCAGAGAGTGAAATTCAGTGAATACACGTAGTTTACAGAGATGCTGTATGAGAAACCAATGTGAGTTTGGAAAATTGCACAATATAAATCTATTCTAGTAGACCTCAACAATGGAATTATGATCAGTGGAAATGGCCATGACATGGGACCTTTAAAGTAAAATGCTTCAATCTGGTGCACTTTGAGCACACAATTACTAGAGACCTGATCTAGGGGGTACAACTCTAAACACCCATATGAAAAAGATCGGTTTACATTTTAATAATCAAAGAAGTATGTGAACATAACCAATAACCTACCATAGCCAATAACAAATAAATGTAGCTTATTTTATTTGTGTTAATTCATATCTTATTTTACCTAGTTAACATTTATTTATTTATTCATATTTTTGTATCTCTCCAACTTTAAATGATATTTTTGGTTTACTGTCCTATAGTATACATTGGAATGATTTCAAACCTGTTTTTATTTATCCTAATAATTATAAAGGAGTGCCTTGAAAATATGTGTTTACATAATTTGTGGTCAAAACGTTTGAGACCCACTGAGATAACTTAGACTAAAATTAACTTATCTAAACACTCCTTTACCTCACTGAGCCTCTCAGTCTGACAGGAGAGCTCTCTTCCACCCTGGTTGTAGAAACATCTACTTCTTATATCCGTTAGCGCAGCTAGCA